TAATCATCTTATCTTTTACTAAAATGAACATTTTTCCGACACAGTCTTTCGTGTACAAACATTTGGATAGGAAAAATGACGAATCAATTACGTTGCTGAGGGAGTTCCGTTTTTTAGCGTTCTATGTGGTAATAATAATCATATTGGTAATGGTAATAATAAATATCTTACAATATTGTGGTTATAGCAAAATCTGGATGTCTATTTTGCTATTTTTTCATTGTCACATTACACAAGAAATGAAACTTTACGTTACGTTTTTCCATATTAGCATGAAATTTGAACCATATTACTGTATCTTCATTAAAACTATTTTTTGTTTCCCTCTTTGGGTAATAACTTATAATAATCTTATTTTATTATTATTGGGGATTTGTGGAAACTGTCGTATTTTTACAGTTTTGGCTAGGCCAACTCTGAAAATATTGCAATCCCCACAAATCCCCCATACTAATAGCAATTATGTTCTCACTAGCGACTAGCTCCTATATGTTACGAATTCCTTTCTAGTGATAAGCCGTTACTAGCGAAGTTCAATCCATGTCGAGTGTGTGACAGTTGTCGACCGTACGTAAAAGGTGAAGGATTACTGAGGATCGCAGATTGATTGAAGTTAGATATTAACACCGTTGAATGCCGACTCAAGGGTCTAATTATTAGGTGTCCGTACGCGAAACCAAAGGTCCTGTGTTCGCTTTGCGCGTTCGGGATGACAGGTACACACTGCTAGGGAGTTCCATACTAAGACGAAACATCCATCGGCAGCGTTTAGGTTCTCAGTGATGGTTTATCTAAGAACAATTCATGATTTCAACAGTGAAAATGAACGTATTTTGTTTACTGAGTGTATTTGTTTTTCACCAGTATTGATCTATACACAGGATTTCTCATCAGGATGAATTACATCATACTGATGCATCTATATATCGAGTTCATATTCATTCATATTCTACTTAATATAATTATCATAAAGACTTAGTATGACTATTTTGCAGAGTGCTAGTAGAGCGGATAGGGTTTATTGTTAACTAAAAAATTTTATCGGTTTATAACAGTATGCAAAAAGACAACATCTGTCGTTTCCTATAAACCTGCATTGATAGGTGTTATGAATTCACATCTTATTTACCTTTTATAGTACATATAATTTGATAGTAGAGCCCTGTAATTAACAGTTCGGTATGTGCCAATCTATTAATGACTTGCAGTTTAGCTAATAACAAGAATAACAGACAACAATATGGGATATTCTATGGGTTATGTGTTCTCAGATACTGTTTCTATGCCCAGTGAGCAATCAACGTTTTCTACTTATTCGGGAGTATTTAAAAGTACATGTAAGATATTACGTAATACATCTACAATCGCATTCCAACTACGTATTTGTGTATATATTATTGTGTCATGCAATTTTCTGACATATAAAGCATCCGTTTAACTATGTCTAATAATCGTTTGTACAGAGAAATGTAACACAGACTATTGGAATCACCAAAGTAGTATGCATATATCATTATTCGGCAAGTAGTTCATTAACCTATCATAGAATATTTATCTGAATATTGAACTAGTCACATTAATATACTAATTTTAAAATAATCAAGCGTTTTTTTCTTGTCTCACTAAAACAATCTATACTGATTTTTTTAATTTTTCAAGTGGTTGATTGTTAATAGAAATTCAATTGTAAATGATGTAAGACTTTTACGGCATAAATTAATATAAATTTTATCATTTTGGAAATAATAGTAATTAACCAAACAGAAAGGTAAAAAAAGTAGTAACATAATTTTTGTAAATTCAAAAACTGATTGTTTCAAGTGAACATTGTGAGTAGTGGATAGCTTAGAAACAAAACTTATTTATATATTCTGTTTCTATCAAGGTTGGCTTTTATCGTGCAACATTTTCGAGAGAAAAAAACTTTAATAGTAGTGATAGATGGTGGCTAGCATTGGAATCTACGGCACGCGTTCCGTCCTATTTGAGACTCATCAGCTGGATCTATTTGCGATAGCTAAGTGGATAACGCTATGGCGTTTGATGCAAATGGTACTGGTTTCGATTCCCAAAGTGGACATCAACTTTAGGACGCAGGTACATTCAACTGACGAGTTCCGTTTAGGATGTAACGTACTTCCTGTATTCAACTGCTGACCACCATCCATCTCTGCCTATAATGCTTGTGACAATCCACACAGGATTCATATATACCAATAAGAGACTGATCAATTGCAGTTCCAATCATTCAATCAGTCTCAACGTGGAACCTGTGCCTATGTATATCGGTTCAAGTTGCCATACCACATTAGCACAGAGAAGTAAAATTATCAGGCCAAATTCCACAATAGTGGATTTATTAGCACCATCAGTATCAGTGGTAGTTGGAAACATTAGATTTCGAAGCTACGATTCTAAAAGAAAAGTCTCCACCAAATAAAACTATATAATCTGCGTATTTTAAGTCAGCAATTTAATCTCTTGTTTGAAGATCAATCCTGGAATAGTCAGACGATGAAGTTCCATGCCTATGACAACGCCAAATAAACATGGGGTAAGCGAACGACCCTGACGAACATCACTTGAAGTAAGCTATTCCGATGACAGTTCGCCATAAGCTTTGACTCGATCAATAGTGTTCGAGTGGAGAGCCTGTACAATGTTAATGTACTTCCTTGCTACACCTTTCGATGATAGACACTGCCACAGAACCTTACGATCAATGGAGTCGAATGCCGCTTTAAGGTCAAGGAATACAACTATAGTGTATCTATGTTGTAGAACCCGCCGAAAGGTGAACATTTGGTCTATACATCCATGACCAGGTGTTAAACCAGCCTGATTTTGTCGGGTTTTCTCTTCACGAGCTCCAGTTAGACGTCTAAGTATTATTGAGGCTAATATTTTAGACACTATATTAGTTAAAATGATTTATTTTTATTCGTCACGAGAGGTTTTTTGTCCGTCAATATAGACTGAGATGATTGGTGATCGAGACCATTCCTAAACATCAGTGGAAAGATTTAAACAACCAATACAAGATGAGTTGAACTTATTAGTAGTGTTGATCATAAAGCTTTAATCATGGTTATGTTGTGTCTCTGTAACTAACGTTTCATCGATCTTTATCCAACAATATCCACTTTTTTAACTGTCAGCATACAGTTAGTTACGTGGTATATATATATATATATATATATACTATGTTGATTAATATGGTGTTTTTTTTCAAAAAATGTTCTGAAATCTAATATTCCTTTCCATTGAACATTAGTTTTCCAGTGATTGGGAGTGTTATTATTCATTTGATTATGTATTTCATCATTCCTAGGTATATAATTATCGTATAGCAAATTTAATTCTTAAAATTAATTTGCTACTATTTTCTTAAGATATTTATTTATTGAGTAGTCATACTCGGAAAAAAATTGTCTAGATATCACGAATGTCACTTTCTAGTTTGATATTCTTCAAGCTGTAACGGTTCAATCTTAATTTTAATGTGAAAATTAATTCAAAGAAAACAAACTGTTTAGTCAGTCAACCAGTTAACTAACATCTTAACACAGTATACATGCTGTTGTGTTACTTAAATTAGTGGCTATATTGCAACTTATAATCGATTGTAGTCAAACATTAGTCTGATTTCGGTTCAGTGATGTCTTTGGCTGTGTTGAATTGAGTCATATCGTCAAGTTCAATAATACCGTCTTGTTTGAATTCTATACAAGGTAATCGATTGAATCTCTGGATGAATATTTTAATTTAATGTAGTTCTAGATTTTTGGTAGTTGCTTATATGCCTTACGTTTTTATCACCTACCAATAAAAAATTAGTTCTACTACTTTTTAATTGTGGTCATCTTCACTGGGATAAACTAACTTATCCATATTTAATTTTATCTGGTGTCGTTTTTACTATTATTCTGCAAATGCATATCCTTTCCAATTTTACGTTGTTCATGGTTGATTGCTATTTATATAAAATCCGAAACAGTAATTGATAGTAATAATAGTGGATTGTGTCTGGCAGTAGAATATGGGATGCGCTTCCCGTCCTATTCCGAAATCATCAGCTGGATATGCCTGCCACATCTGAGTGTTGATGCTTACACTAAGATTCATGTCCAGTAAGTTTTGCTTCAAATACCCACCCATTGTTCACTGAGTTTGTTTGCCCAGATAGTTACTAGCTTGTGCAATGCATGCGGTTTTTATACCATTATTAACGAGGTTTCGGTCCTCAAAAACAACAACAACGGGATCATTTAAGCATTACTAATGTTGATTTCATAATAATAATAATAGTAATAATAATAATAAATAATAATGTTACTGAGTTGTTTTCTACCTAATTGATTGTTTTGACAATACTTCATTTATAATATAATAGAAGACAAATATTATGTCTATAATTGTTATTACCAAGCTCGTATGTACTTTTTATTCAAGTACATGATAATTGGGTCAAATAAACAATCTCGTTTGCATAATGATTACTCGATTTGTATTGATGAATATCACTTTTCAATATGCTTGTTTAATCCTAATACTAGTGTTTTCAGTCATATAAGACTGAAATATCAGTCGATATGTTTATGTCAGTCATCTGTCTATATCAGCAAATATCATTCAATGAAGCTGGGTTAGACTGTGGTCAGATGTTGATATTTAACACCACAAGATATAAATAGTTTGTTTGAAGTTGGATTTTCGTCGAGGTTTTGTCTTTAGCTGAAAATAGACTATGAAGTTTTATCTATCTGTTCGATTTGGTTAGTAGCAAAACCCTGATATCGAGTGAAATGAATCTTATGTTCATAACTCTGAAATGAGGTGATACAACACAGCTGTCTGGTTCTTAGTCTAATGAATCGCTTGTATTTCTTTAAATAGTATATTTCTTATTATTATTATTTTAATTATGTACCGGTTTTAATCACTTAAATATGCAACAGTGTCTACTTATCTTTTTGTTTTTGTTTTCTAATTTTTATAAGACTCTTCTTGACAATGAAGAAATGAATTTAGATGAGCTGGAAAATAACAGTAGTTCTCTCAAAAGGATCCAACGAAAAATTGGTGGTTCTGATTGGGTTGATTCAGATGGTGATACAACAACAAGTCCAGTAAGCAGAGGTCAATCAGAGATTGGGACTAGTAATACGGATGCTCAAAGATTAGCATTGTTGATTCAAAATCAGTTGGATGCAATAAATAAAGAGATCAAAATGATACAGGTAAAGTTAACGTCTGATCTTCTATGTGATGTAGGTTAGTAACAAAGTATGAGTTCGTGTATCTGTTTCCGAGCCATAGTTTTTGTTAGTGGGTCCAGTAGTGCTAAGTGGCTGAATAAACTGAATATCGAAGATCCCGTGTTCAATTTCCGCGTTTGGGATCGTAGATGTGCACTGCCGGAGTTCTATTCTAGGATGAAACAGCCTTTCAATGCTTCCAAGTTTCCGATAGTAGCCTAACATTGTTCGGTCCATGATTTCAACGAAGGAAATTTTTATCTCTGCTAGAAGTTCTCATGACTCCAAGGTTATACATAACCATTGTAAAGAAACACTGAATTATGTATTTTATCTGACTGCGACTCGAAAATTCAATCGTGTTTTGACTTCTTATTTGTTCAGGCTTCCTGGTCAGTAACTCATGAATTCAGTGCTCGAAGTTAGTGACAAAATATTTTAATCCTAAAAAAACCAATAAGTATATAGAGTTTATACTAAACAACTCAATAGATTCTTACACATGACTGATTAATTCAAATTGGTTTCAGTAAACCATTTGTACAGGATTTCAAAAAATTGTGCTATCATAAATAAATTCACTAACTAGAAAGTTGTATTATTATTTCTTTAAAATTAGTTACTTTTTTGTACGAGAAAATTAGCTACATACAATAATTCATCTGAGCTTGAGAAATTTTCCAACATATATCTTATTGATATATTAAACTATAAGGTGATAGAACAATCGTTAATAAATATTGACAAATAAGGAGTAGATAACAGTTTATATCTATATATATAATGTTTTATGCGTTTTTCGTGTATTTACGTGTTTGACTGAACTCAAACAGTCCCTATGTTACTTAACAATAGAAACTCAAGTTTCTCTTTCTCAAACTGATTAACAATAAAATTTAGTGATGCATGATTTTAATATTAAGGTTTTAGAAATTATTATGGCCTCAAACTTCAATAATGAATATTAAAACACATTTGACTTATTTTGTAGGTTGTATATATATTGACTAGAGAAGTGGTCGATTTACAACTATCTCTGATAATTTTTTTTATAGTTGGGCATACTAGAAAGTTATTAGAGCAAGCCATTCGAAACTGGGAAAATTCTAAAAACACTTTGTAAAGTCAACTCTTACTAGAACCTTCTAGAAAAAACGATGAACTTTGTCATACTCTACTCTGATTTGTTAACCACCTATCTTGTTACTAGATTTAAAATGTCTCCAGAAGTTTCCTTACCACTAACTTTACCTATTAACTTCTTTTACATATACCAGTGCATTTGTTAGCGATAATGTAATTAGTTGACCGAAGTACAAGTTTAATTGTTTACTTCATAAGGATTTTTATTCAACCGACTTTTCAACATTTATTTGTGTTATTTTATTTAGGAAGAGAAACAAACTGCTGAACAGTTAGCTGAAGAGCTAGAATTACGTGTTGGTTGTACTGGTACAAATCGTAATGGCAGTTCACAGGGACAATTAATTGATGATTATTACAATCAACAACGTGGCAATGATACAAACGAGGCATATTATTATACTAATCAAGATGGACGTCTTAATGCGAATCATGTTATGCCAAGTTTATTACCTAATTTTGGTCCAACTGGTTGGTCACCTCCACCATCACCATTAAGTTCTAGGTCAACACCATTCGGTGGTATTTCTAGTGATTCTTTCAGTGGTAGTTTTAATAATCCTAATCGAAATGCATCGTCGTCAATATTATCATCTGTGGTAGTTAGTAAAGAATCTGAACGATCTATTCCTCAATATGCTGTTCCTACTCCATTGGCCGTAGATCCACGTCGTAATTTTCAACATCAGCCTATTCAGTATTCACAACGAGCAGTAATAGTGGTTTTATGTCGCGTAGTAGTCAATTTGAACAACAACGATCAATGTCAGCCGCTGGACGTCCATTGCATCAGGTAACTGATTCACTTAAACAATGTGAAAACATGTCTTGTATATGTCTGATTTTATCATCATACATTGTAAAATTATGACATAGTTTTCACAAATGATATGTGTATGCGTATACTTTGTTACATGTATGAATTTGGTTCAGACTTATTAGCAGTGAAACAGTGATCGTTAATGGCATTGAAGGATCATAATGATATACAACACTGGTTAAAGTTGAAAATGTTTATAATCGGACCCCAACCTAGTGGCTCTAATGATTATTATTATTATTATTATTAATGGCTTTATTCAATATTATATTTTGGTACAATATAGAATTCTCAGCACAGGGTATTTCACAAGTTACTTATGCAAACAAAAATAGTAACAAAGACAAAAAAAATAAAGTTTAAAAAAAAATCTGAAAACAGTACAACATTTGAAATTAAAGTCATGTTAAGAATGCAGGTTATTGGCTAGGTTAACTCTAACAACCTGTTTTATACGTTCATCACAAGAACAAAATATCCTGGGTTCGATGCCTGGTGTTATCGTGGATACCTCACTGTTGAGAAGTTTATGCGAAAACGAGGTGAATGTTCGGTGACCTATGGATTATAATGTTACATTAATAAAGATCAATCTGCGACGAATACAACCTATAAATCTAATATTATTCTCTTCTCTATTTGTCATGTATGCAGAATCACGTTCTAATATGTTCCAATGCTTAGTTTTTATTTATTGTAGTTCTGACTAGAAAGTACGCTTAATTTTACTCACAAGTATTTGTTTAGCTTTCATGTATTTATTCTTCTTAAATGTCTAGTTAATTAACGGTAACACGCTATTCATTTTCTCTAGTAGAACGTTAAGTTTATTTACTATATATATAAAGTGATATACTAACACAATAAATTTCAAAAAGACCGATCACATGCATGAACGAAATTTATAAATCACTATAGGGGTTTTGTGTAAATTGTTGTGTTTTCGTAGTTTGCGTAACGAACTGAATCTAGTTAGACTGGCATTAAAAAACAAGGAGCTATGGACATTCGTATTGCCCTAGTACAGTGTTCTTCATCACCTAGGACCTACCATTTTGAGCATTAGCACAGTTCCTGGAGTTTCTAGTGATAAGCCATGACTAGTGGAGTTTGATCATATCTATTGTGAGATACCCATTCCAAGCGATGGAAAATGGATGTGCAGCATTGCGAATCAATTGAAGTTATACATGTATACAATTTTGTTCCTGCTCAACTCTCTAGGCTTTAAGTGTTTGCTCGAGAAACGTAAGGTTATGTGTTTAGTCCCTTGTGGTGCGGTTGTAGATAGGCATTGCTATGAAGTCCCGATATCGGGACGGAACAAATGTCCAACGCTTCCTGGTTTTCAATGTTGGTCTAAGGAAACTCGGTTCGTGATGTGAACTATTAACACTTTTGAAAAGTGGTGATCAGCTAGGGAAATTGGAAGGTAAAAATACAAACAGTGAAAAACAATATGAATCATATCACTCTGGTTAACAAATTAGTATTACCATGGTTAGTACAAATCACTTTTGAACACACATAGTGGGGTTGGTGTTAACTTTCGATGCAGCCAAGTTTTCAACAAACCTAAGTAGTCGCTTTATACAAAAACACGAAGGCTGAATTAAGATAATTCTAATAACATACTTCAATTGTGTTTGGCAATGAAAAAAGATGAATGTTTGTCACCTGCTCTTATTGAATCAACTAACTTTATTTGTTTACACAACTGTCTTGTTACAAACTTAATAATTGTTAGATACTTCAATGTCATAAGTGACTGTCACATCATATTGTGCTCTTCTAATTATTGCCTCCTTATTTAGTTACCAGTATGTTATTTTTATATTTTCGTATGGGAATTTTAAGACGTTTTTAAATGAGAATGAGTGATAGTTGAGGTGAATATTGTTTTCGCTCTTCCTTTACGGTGTGTGTGCACAGAGTGATATTGAAACATATCGCTATGAAAATCTTTGATCATGCTAGTATACAAACACTTACATGGTTAGTGACTGTTGTTATTTGTTGTAGTATAAACATATAAACTGTAAGTTATTGGGTTATACTAAACATCATATGTTTTAGTTCATACAATTTTTGTTTACTCAAATATTACCGCTGTGAGCAACGGATCATCGTAAACTTATTTTTCATCATCCACAAAAACTTAATATCACAGTATACCTAAAATCATTTATAGGCTAGTTATACTTACGACTTGTAAACGTTAGGCTATTACGACATAGTATCTTTTATTACGATAATTGATGTATTTGATGCGGTTAGTATTTTAAACCAGAGAGCTCGAAGTATCCCTATCAGTGTACTATGAATCACTTCTCCTGACCGTCCATTTTCAATATGACTATTTCTAGTGTTCAGTTTTATCCAACAGAATATATCTTTATCAAATTCACAAACCTATCTAAGTTAAACAACCGTTGAAAACCTAAAATGCAATGTATCTTCTTTTTGTCCTAGTATGAAACTCCTCAGTAGTGCGTATTCACCAAAGGTAATAGAACATGATTGCGCAATATAGTTGATTGCTTAAAGTTAGATTTGTGCATCATTGGATTCTGCCTTAGTGGTTTAGAGGTTAACTGTTCACTCACTAGTCTTCTGGTCTCAGATTTGCCAATGCGCAGTGCTGAAATGAAATGCTCATATTGTTATACCAAGTTTGTAATGATTGTCTTAAATCTGTTCGTGATTTCTATGAAATTAAACAATCTCCACAACCTAAAACTTAAAAAACATATTTTATTGGCTCTGATGTGGATTATTGTTCCTGAAATTCATAGGGTTCTTAATTTACGTCATAAGGTGTATGTTTAATATTTATAGTACTGACATGTTATTTAAGTGTCAATCTGTCTACCTAGTCTTAAATCTCATATTTAACTACATTGCTTTATATGTAAGTGTAATTAATCATTTGCCGTTTACCTTATGGCAATCTTGATGATTCCTAACATTTTACAGTTCCAGGAAAAGAATTAGATACAAGATGAGACTGTATATCCAATATTTAATGACGATTAATGATATCTTTCTTGATTGTGTCAAGATTATACCAAAGATTAATCGAATTGCTAGCTGTGGACTTAATTGTTTAAACCTTTGAAACGCTTGATACATTGAGGCAATTTATTTTGCATGATTTGTAATGTACATTTGACCAACTCTGGTTTAATCTCATTCGTATTTGCATTTGAATTACACTGCATCGTCTTCAAGTCATCTTCCTCTTAATGATAAAATGTTTGATGGGCTTGATAATTTGAATTTAATCAGAGTTTGCTTGTTCTGTCCCCAGACTACCGCCTTATCAGTGTTCACTTAGGTTGTTTTTTGTGATATAGGGTCTTAGTAACGTTTAGCTAGAAGGTATGGTTCCTTTATGTGCTGAAAATAGATGAGTGTACTGAGAAATATGTGTATGCGGGATAGAGAATTTAGAAGGAGGAAAAAGTGATTGAGGTAGTAATTCAGTAGCCATATCAGTAATGAGAGAAATTAACAAAAGTCAGTCTCAGTAGTTCCAGTGGATAAAGCTTCGAACACTTGAAGCAAAAATGTACTGTATTCATGTCTTAGTATATTGATCAACACTAGGATGTATTACAAGTACAACAAATCAAAAAGTCCCAAATAGAGTGAAATACGCATCCTGGATTCCATTGCTACCCACATGCCATATATACTAAAAATGTGTCAAGGCGATTTACGTATAACAATATAGACTAGTCAATTGTAGTCCTGATTAATAACAATCGTAAAACTTCAAACCTATACCAGGTAAACCCATTAGTTGATGTTAGTGTTTGGTTTCGGATAAATTTTAAGTTTTATATTGACCTATCATGTTCTTCGCTTTCTTGTTAATATTCATTTAACGTTGTTTCGTAAATTGAGTCAATAATCGATTCAGTGATTTAATGTACGGATAGAGTGGTGAAAGTTTAGTCGAAAAAAGGATAAAAAAATAAGGCCTAAGAAAATATTGGTTTTTTTCGTTTTCAAGGATTTACGTTTTCCCGTTGTTTACGTTCGTTTTCAAAAAGAAAGGTTCTGGTTCACAGTCTTAGTACGAACATCAACATTGGGATATTTAGCAGCTACATTTATGTTCACAAGTCTTAAATAGAAAAAATCCACTCATCCTGGATTTGATTATCAGCCCATATTCAACTTTAATAGTTGAACACGTTTTACTTGTAGCTTGTTGATATTCCTTTAATCATCAGGCAGTCTCGTATTCATATAATTATTAAATTGTCTCAGTTGTATTACTGAATATTTACTTTGTCCAATCTCATAGTAATGTTGATCATCATTTATTCTAAGTATTTATCGGTGTCGTCATTGTTGTATAGTCTTGTGTTGTCGATTCATTTGTTTTTTTCTCTCATAAAATGTTTTCATAAAGCTCATTCTCATTGTATAAATGTAACATTGATCATTCTATCTGACATTCTTAATTTTTCTTTCTTACAAACAAAACAAAAACTTCGCTGTATTCTACAAATGTGTATTATGCATCAAATCTAATATATATGTACATGTATATATGTGTGTAAGTCTCTGGGCATGAATGGTGGCAATTCACTGTCCACACCACATCTTAATCCTCAGTCATCATCCTCTTCATCTTCATCGCCATCTGTTGCACTGTTAGGTCAAAATTCACATAATTCAAATAAATTAACAATTACAACAACTACAGGAACAACATCAACATCTACATTAATTACTAATGGTTCAACTAGAAGTGTAACATTAGCTGATGCTATTGCTGGCCTTGAATTATTAGATCAAATGCGTAAAGAACGCAGTACACAACAACAACCGAAGAACAATAAATTCACTTCATATATCACTCCTGAGAACCCATATGAATTTGGACCAGATGAATATACAACATCATCTATGGTAGAAACAAATTCTAACTCTGAAGTCAATTCTGCGGAGTCAAGTTC